GCCCCGAGCACGCAGCTCCCAGAAAGTATTCGTGAGGCTCGCAAAACTGTACTGGACTTCAGTCTCCGGCGTGACGAACTCAATGTCGAAAGCTACGATTTGTTGTTTGAGGAGAAGGAGGTGCGATACGAGGAAGAGGGCGGCATCGGTGGGTGAGGCGGATTTAGCAAGCAACGTGCTAACTTGCGCGAGAGAAAGCGTGGTGCTGTGAACGATGTGATGAGCCAGGTCATCGAATACAGAGGACTAGGAGCACATTAGCATGAGGAAGGACATGCGAGCGTTGAAGGACTTACGTGAACAAGCCTGTAGATTTTGCTGAGCAACCAGATCGCTTTGCGCAATGTAGGGTACCAGTCTTTGAAGGCCGCTTCGGTATTGAAGTTCCATCGCGCATCTGGATCGTCGTCTTCGACTATTGTGGGCGTCTTCGGCATCAAAGGGGTGGGTGGGACTTCGGACTTCGGCTGCTTCTTGCCAGACAGAACGGGATGATTTGACTTCGTCCCGGAAATGGCGTGCTTCTTGTTCTTCGCAGGGTAGTCGAGGTCTTCTGGTTTAGGCTTGTATCTCTCAATGTCGTCTCGCAGGATCGCAAGCGACAGGAAAACCAATCTGTTTTGTGCATCTTGCAGTGCGGGGTGTACAATGACAGAAAAGTCCAGCTTGTTCGCCTCAACTGGCGAGTCCTCCTCCTCTTCCTCCATGTATCGTGTCTGTATCAGTGTGCAGAGTTCGCACAGCTTGAGTATTTGTGTCTCGTGGATAGTGCGCGGTCGCAGGTAGTCGTATAAAGGCTCGCATACAGCTTCGAGGAAGTCGTACAATCCGCCATCACCCTCAAACCACTCTCGCCATAAGTCGCACTCGTCGAAACATATGCCACGTATGTAGCTTATGCTGCTCCTCGCAAAGGCTACGAGATCCGTCGATGTGCTCGGAGCTTGTGCGATCTCTCCGATTTTCTTTGTAACGATGGGAAGTATAAGTCGGCCACGGGTGGCTGAGTAGCTCTGGTACAGCTCGTTCATCAAACTCTGGTATTCGGCTTCTCCGCCTGGCGCTGCTCCAGCTGGCAGTACTGCCCGCTTTTGTATCTCGATGCCTATACTCTTCAGCTCCGGCGCGCCGACGCGGAATTTGGCATACAACAGCGCAGACATTGTGGTGTCGTTCAGTTGTCTGTCCGCTATCCGCTTCGACACATCGGCTGCGATTTCGCGAAGCGCTTCGGTGAAGTGGACGCGGATGAGGGTGAGGGCACGGGTAAGGAGCAGTCTGTATCTGGATCGGTACGTTTCGGCTTCGCGATGCTTGGAATGCGCCTGCATGTATTCGAGGCAGCTGTCCAGGTTGGCCAGCATCTCGACGAATTCTTTACCCCGCACAATCTTGCCTGCTCCCGGAGCATTGAGTCGTTTGGTGGTAGGTTCGAGGTAGAGATAGTATCGTAGATTCTGCTCCATATCGTCTGCGAGCTTCGTAATGCGCTTCTGGTCGTCGATGAGGCCCTCGCATTGTGTGCGGAAGGCGTTCGTCTGGGCTTCGACGATCTTGAAGGATTCGGAGAGGGAGGAGAGAATATCGAGGGTCGATGTTGTGTCGGAGATGATGTTCTCGAGGTGGTTTCGCGTTATGTGTAGTTGGTTCTGGTAGAGTCTGTACTCCTCGTGGCTGGCTTCGAGCAGCTCATCGCTGACACCGCCATACCAGTCGGCAAACTCCAGCTCGGTGCTGATTTCCCCACGTGACTTCTTCTTCTCGAGTGCTCTTTCCTTCTTCAGATGTGCCCGCACGACGGTGTAGAAGTCGCTGTACGACTTGGCGCGTCTGGCCACGGTGGCCGGTGGAGGGCCATTGAGCTTGCCGGGTCGATCGTCCTCTGCTGTTTCCGCGATGGCCTCTGCGCGCTCGAAGTCAGCCTGACTCTCCTGCAAGTACAATCATCAGAAGTGCTCAGACGTACCCAGGCAGCGGATGGTGGGCTTACGTTCTCCTGTTTAAGCAGGCTCTCTCTGCGGCGGTGCTTGCCCTTCTCCTGGGGCTTGGCGGTGCGCGGCACAAAGGCAGTGTACCACGAGTCTGCCTCGTACATTCTGGCGCAGTTCGGGGGTTGGTGGATTTGTTGTGTGTAGACAGGAAACACGACGCCAGCTTCCACATGTCGGAGCTCGGTGATGCTCGTGGGGGTCCAGCAGGTCGTGCTAGGCCTAATTGGCGCTAGACTCATCTGTCAGTGTGGAGCAAGTCTAGAGCGTCATTGATCACGCAGCTACGATCTAGAGAAACTATCCAAACTGTCCAATTACCAATGCTCCAATCGTAATCGGACCTTCGATCGTGCTGCAAATGTTGCTCTCTTGATCTACCCAGACGCCCACGGGACGACACCTGCCACTACGAGCCCACCACGCCATATACCACACTATGCTCAGCACAAAGTGTGTAGCACGCGCGACCCTCCGAACGCCGCATGCCCCGCGAGTATGTAGGAACATAGCGACCAGACCCCCGCAATCACACGTCCGGACAGCATCCCACCCCTATGCACAACGACGACAGCAACACTTCGTCCGATCCATAGCCACCGTCGGCGCGCTCTGGGCTACCGCCACGGCATATCAATGGTGCAACGGAGACTCGATCATACGAGATGCGCACGCTGAGGAACAAGAGGAACCGGAGCTGAAGTTTGAAGCGCCACGGCGGCAGGCAACATCGGTCGACGACAATAGAAATATCATCAGCTCGCAGCATCTTCAAGTCATCAAGAGCTGGGAGAACCCTGGAGTTTACACATGGGGTTCCAACTCAGGCAAGGTCGTGGCACCCGACTCTGACGAAAAGTACATCAAGACACCAAGACGCTTGACCTTCTTCGACGGAAAGTTGTTGCGGGACATCAAGCTCGACAGAAACTTCGGCGCAGCCATTGACGAGAAGGGCGATCTTCTACAATGGGGCACCGCCTTCGCAAACGACGTCAAGGAGCCTACCAAGACTCTGACGGGCCATAACCTTACCTCTCTCGCCATCTCCCGCGATCGTATTATTGGCCTGTCCAAGAGTGGCACCGTATACTCGATACCCGTTTCACAGGCGGAGCAGAAGGAAGGCCCAAAGCCGCCATCTACATCCTGGATCCCTTTTTGGGGTGGCTCCAACAACATCTCATATCGCAACCGTACACCTGAGAACCTCGGATGGAGCGAGCGCGTCACGGACATCTCATCCGGGCTAGAGCACGCGCTCATGCTCACCTCCTCTGGCCGCGTCTTCTCTTTCGCATCAGGCTCACAAGACTTCCCTAGCAAAGGTCAGCTAGGAATACCGGGTCTATCATTCGAGAGCCGTCCCACTGGCGCTTTCGACATTCCCCACGAGGTCACTACCCTCAAAGGATTCCCCGTCAAGAGGATCGCTACTGGTGACTACCACAGCTTAGTCTGTGATTCCGAAGGACGAGCTTTTACTTTCGGCGATAATACCTCCGGTCAATTAGGTTTCCCGTACAACGCTGAAGCGCAAAGCGTAGATGCGCCATCTCTTCTCCCAACACAAAAGCTATACTCTGGCTCGCTAGGCAAAGTGACAAATGTATTCGCTGGCGGCAACACGTCTTTCCTCGCCGTTGAAGCGACCAAAGGAAACAAGACTACTGCAGACACATGGGCCTTTGGGTTCGGCCTCACAGGTCAACTCGGTGTTGGTCGGTGGGTGCACACGCAGGCCGACCCCGTCAAGGTCCCCGCGTTCTCTGGCCTCTTTGAGTGGGACGAAGCCAAGAACACTGCAATTCCGATACGTCTATTGAACATCTCAGTCGGATCAACCCATGCCGCCGCCATCCTCGACAACGTTGCCAGCGTCGCTGTGACCGGTCGGTCGAAGAAGCTCACAGACAACGACACAAACTGGGGTCGCGACATCTTATTTTGGGGTAACAACGAATACTACCAGATTGGCAGTGGCAAGCGGAGCAATCTAGCCACACCAACATACATCCAACCACTTGACCAAGCCGCTGAGCAAGAGCGAGCTGCTTCTGCCGGCGGATTCGGAAAACAACTAAGAGAAAAAGAGATGCATCGTTTCCAAATCACACCAAGAAATAAGGTCAAGGTCAATGGCCGCACAGTCGAATTCGAACAAAAGGTGGAGTGTGGACGCGGATGCACTGCCGTTTACTCTGCTGTTTGATCTACCAGCTACTGTTTGTGTTTTTTCTTGTATATATACCTCCGCCTTTTAGGGCGGGCACCGCTACGTTTGATGACATGTAAGAGTAGGTTGAAGGATAGGCTGTATCTCTCCCAAATCAAATCAAGAGTGTTTGATCTTCAGAATCACACCATTACCATGATAACAAAATCCACACATCTGTTAGCGTCTTTGTGTGACTAGTGTCGGGTACAAGCGTGCGCGTGTCGTGGGTCCGTATACTCCACTATTCAATCAATTTGAGATTTGTAGGGAGATGCGATACGCGCTGATGCGATTGGTGGCATTATTCTCATGCCGGAGAGTAAAGATGACGTCTGTGTTGTAAGAGGTAGAGAAAGGACTACAAGATGGTCCACGACACTTACCTACAGAATGTGGCCATGACAAGACGTGCTCGGAGCGATGGATTGAGGAGGGACACTAGGGATGTGGCAGTGGGTTCGAAGAGGAGTTTTTATGGGGAGTAGCGGGAGAAAAGAGTAGTCATCGAGATGTTGAAATATGTGTGATTGCACCGACTACAAGCCTGTGTCGGCGACCTAACTAGCTGATGTGGGTATATGGTACAAGACGCGCGAAGCTACATGACTTTTGGTACAGATGATAACAATAATACAAAAGAATAGCTCGCAAACTGGAGAAAAAACGTATAAACAAGAACGGCCTACGCTAGTACAAAAAGACAAGATTAGACAACCGAAAAACACGTACTCAGGCCGCCGAAGAAACTCCTCCGAGCTCGCCCGAGATTAAAGAAATTGGGGACGCAGAGTCGATCAAAGCCCCATGCGCTGGATCATGGCTCGTGATTCTGCTTCAGACAGTTCGTTGCCGTCGATGTTGATGCGACCTTCTTCGACTTGCGCGAGATCTGGCTTGACGAGGCCTTCGTGGAGATATTTGAGAAAAGATAGTAGCTTCTCTTCGAACTCGGCGTACGGATATCGTTCCTGGGCTGCTTCTATCGCCTGTAGACTTGACTGCGCCCGACCATTTGGTATTAGTTCGTTGATGTATTGGCGCTTGATCCTGGTCCACTCGCAGTTCTCTTCGCGAAGATTACCTTCAGCACAGAAGAGTCTCCTCATTGCTGCCACGTCCGCTGGTTCTTCGGCCCATCGTTCGACGCCAGGGCAGCCATAGGCGAAGATGGTGTTAAAAGCTTCGTCACCGTAAGCACCATTACGAAGATATTCGCCGATGATAGCCTGTAGCATGAAATGTGCTGCCAAGTCGAACCACTCAGCCGTTGGCAGCCAATCGTCATCCAGATTGACACGTGCGGCGGTAAGCTCGATGAAGACAGGGAGTAAACAGTGGAGCGAGGGCGTGCCTGCTACATCGGTCACCCACCTCCGCTGATCCACCGGCATTCTCAGTGCGGAGGCAAGAGCAGAGCGGTTTTCGTAAAGAGCGCCATCGGAAAGAGGAAAGTCCTTCTGCTGGTCGAAAGGGTCCTGGAGCGCAGAAGGATGCTGAGTTCGTTGCCGCCAGTACTCGCCACGGGATTTGTTCTGCTCGCGCAGACTGTTCAGCGACTCTTCGGTTGTCCAGGTCTCGTCGTGATGCAGCCGATGTGTGAAGATCAGGGCAAACTGCAACAAACGCGATCGAAATGACGCCTTGGCATCTAGGCGTCGGCCATGGTGTCTGTGCCCGAGGAATGTCCTCCAATCTGATAGTCGTGAGCACGTGATGCATTGCCGTAACAGGCGCAAGTCATACCAGCAGTCATGTTGACGAGCGCATTGGGCAGATCTGAATGGTATGGATCACTGCTCGACTTCCACTCAAAGACCAAGTCAATGGCCTTGTAGACAAGGAAATCTAAGATGGTGAGATCGACGTCAAATTGGTCTTCCTCTTCAGTCTCCATGCGCCGGGTCAGGTTCAGGTAGCCTTCCCTGGGGTGTCCGTTGCTGTCGTGTGTGTTTGCCATGGCTTGATGCAGGGCGCTGTAGGTGGGGAGAAGGGGGCGGGAGGCGGTCAACATGGAAGGTAGGGCGATATATAGGCAAGTGAATGACGGAAAGGACTGTACGAAGCAAAGGCTGGAGGGAGCTGAGGGAGGGAGAGCACGAGAGGCGTGATAGCAAACGGGTTATAGCAGAAGGATGCCCCCTCTAGACCCCACAGTTAGCCCACCCTGGAGGACAAAGACATTGGGCGGCTGGCTGGATGCAGGGTCGACTTCATGCGTCGTGACCCGAGAGTTTGTGTCGCTGCAGGGGGAGGTTCGCACGGCATGCGCAAGCGAGGCGAAGGAGTTCACGTCAAACAGACAGGCTGAGTCGCGGAGCAAAGGGCTCCACCAGCATCGGGTCTGAGCAACTGGAGGAGAGCGGAAGAGACCGCACCTGCATGGTGGCTGCCTGGCTGAGACGCCGGCGCCGTCGCAGTCGCGTCGGGCAGGACTGGAGGGCGCGCGAGGCCGTGGAAAAATTATCAACCACGGCCAACTCCTGTTCGCATCCAGAGTGTCGCATGTAGCACGCAAGCGGCTTAGCGTGAGGTACCGATGGGTGAGTGATGGCGCCGGCCGCGTCTATCTCGCCCGCGGGCTGCTGCGATCGCCCATGCGCCGACGCCACCAGCCTCAGCACCCCACACACGCAGCACGCCGTCTCCCACACTGACACCTGACTGAAGCTTGGAGATGCGCGTCCGTCCACGCCTGCCAGTGCGCGACAATGCTGCCCAAGAAGTGCTCCATCCTCCTGCCCTCGTACACTAACCTCAGTCCCCTCTACTATTCCCACGCTGGGAGCTGCTCAGGTCCCCAGCCGGGCAAGTCATGCCGTCATAGATTCGCACGTCCTGAGGCCGCAACACAGCGGCGCTCCTACGCCCAACACCAGGACGCGCCCGCCTACCGCGATGACGCAGAGCTGCTCAGGTGGCCAGACGCCGTGAAGCCGCACAAGACACCCACGCCCTACCAGATCCTGAAGTGCCGCAAGGGCGACGCCTACACGAAGCACCGCTTCTATGCCCTCGTCAAGCTCTACCACCCCGACCGCTGCCATGCCGAGTCGGCCATCGCCCAGCTGCCCCTCCACGTGCGTCTCGAGCGCTATCGGATGCTAGTCGCCGCCCACGACATCCTCTCCGATGTCCAGAAACGCAAAGCGTATGATGCCTGGGGCCACGGCTGGGCCGGTCACCACCAGATGCCCATGGCCCCCCGTCATAACGACTGGCACTATGATCCACATCGCTGGAATACGGATCCGCGTACCAATGCGACCTGGGAGGACTGGGAGCGCTGGCACTACGAGAACGGCGGCGGCGCCAAGGACACAGACGCCCGCACGATTCAGATGTCCAACTTTACCTTCATGGCCCTCATCTTCGCCTTTGTCAGCATAGGCGGCGTCGTGCAGGGCACTAGATTCAACACCTTCAACAACTCGGTCATAGAGCGGCGCGACCAGATCCACCGCGAGGCGAGTATGGAGTACAGCCGGAGCAGGAATGCCACTCTGAGCTCAAGTGGAGATCGCGACGAGCGCATACGCACCTTCCTTAATCACAGGGAGTCGACTATAGTCGGCGAGCAGTCCTACCAGCGCTTACTCCCGCCCGCCGACACCTGCTCGCCTGATGAGATCAGGAGGCAGTAAAACGAGTAAAATGAGCACATTGTGGTGCCTGATAGATTTGCTATACCCTCCAGCACATTTTGGTGCTATATCGTACGACTGTTATTACTTCGCGGCATGAATGGAGCTAGGGCGTTCGGTTCTGTATGTATCATTCGGCAGGCGGCACATATGCGCGCGGCGGGCATATCCTAGCCCTCATGCGCTCAGACACCACGCAAATTCAACGACAATCACCAACAGCACCCCCGCCGTGCCTGTGATCGTGTACTCGTTTTTTCTTCTTCCAGCACCCTGGCCGTCGATCGTAGTATGACGGCGGCGTAGAATATCGACACTGGCAATATATCGAAGATGATCTACGCCAGAAGCAGCATGGCTTCCGCGCTACCGCCTACACCTAGGGTAGCAGAGCCTCAAACACTGCTGCAACTGTGTCACGCGGGTCCAGTCCCCTAGATGATGTTCCAGCTTGGCAATAAGCGAGATATCTCAAGGGTAGGGTATATGACAAGTTTTATTACTACATGTATGCGAACGCATGAATGCTCGCGCCACCAATGCTCCATCTCAACGTTTACCGATGGCGATCAGTAATAACTTACGCGATTTTAGGTTTGCACCACCACCTGACATGCTCGCCAACAGCTGCACCTGCATCAACGACTCACCCCCTGCGCAATCGCCCCGCGACCTGAGGTGTCGTCAACACGCCATTCCTCAAGTTATCGAACTTGGAGTCAGGATACAGCAGCCAATTGGGCGATGACTCGATGCCTGCACCACTCCCGCTGCCCATCTTCTCGACAACCTTTATACGTTAGCAAGCTCGTCTCCACTCTCAGACGTCCACGACTCACGTTTGTCACGATGCTCCCGCTGTCATCTGTCCTGTCACCGCTGATCTCCCACCACATTGCGCCACCCAACCCTTGTTCTGCAATGTAGTCGACCTTCTTGAGCGCCATGGCCACAGTATCATAGCTGACGAACTCGCCACTCGCTTCGTCGTAGCTGTACGTTGCGCCAGCCTCTTCATCGTAGTACTCCTGTGCACCTGCAAGGGGCAAGTCCTTGAAGTCGTAGACGCCTCGCTCGAACGATCCGGTGCCGATGCCACTGAACGACGTTCCTAGACCCTGAGTGTTGGTGAAGGAGCGACCATAAAGCGGCATGCCAAGATTGAGCTTGGAGGAAGGAACGCCCGCGGCGCTGTAGGCGGCCAGAACGGAAGCTGTATTGAAGGGCGTGCTCAGGGGAGTCGAGGTCGAAGGGTAAAGGTTCGATTGATGGCCAGTCTGGTCATCCCAGGAGCCAGCGTAGTCGTATGCCTATCTTTGCGTTAGTTTATTTGTTGCTGCATTTGGAGAAGCCAATACTTACCATCAGATTGATAAAGTCTGTGACTGCACTGATCTCTTTCAAGGGCAGATGCTTGTAGTTCTTCTCCCCGGCTGGCGAAGCAATAGTCAAGAGGAACTTGGGCTTTAGCTCGGATCCAGACTCATCTTCGTACACAAGCGTATTGGCATACTGGTCCATCTGACCTCTGGTCTCCTTCAACAGCGCAAGTAACTGCCCGCCTTGCTCCTTGTCGGTAGGATACTCCCAATCCACATCAATGCCATCGAAGCCATAGTCGCGAATCAACTCCACACACGAAGACGCAAAGCGCTGTCTGCCTGCGTCCGTAGCCATAGGCCCATCCATGTGCTTGGCAACGTTTGTATACGTCCAACCACCTACACTGAGCAACACCTTCAAGTTCCTATTCTTGGCCTTCAGGATTTGAAGCTGCTTCATCGATCCGTAAAGATTGTTGCCCACGTCGTTCCAGGAATCAGTCAGATAGTGCTTTTCCGCGTCGGCATATGTGTCGGTGAGGAAGACGGTGCCGTCGGGCTTGTTGTCGGCGAAGGAGTAGAGCAGGTGGGTGAGTCGCTCTGCGGGTATTTGCTGGGGTTGGAAGTTGCGTGCGTAGATGTCCCAATTTCCGTAGTAGGCTACTGAGCGGTAGCCGGGGTGGGTGGGGATGTTGGGGTTGGTGGGTTCGGGTGGTGTGTCGCTTGCTGTGGGCTCTGGTGGAGGTGGTGCGTAGGAAGGCGTGGCTGACACCGAAGGCTGCGTGATCACATAGCTTGTGACTATGGATGGGGAGGGAACAGTAAAAGTAGAGGCTGGCACTGAGGTCTCCGCGGTCATATAGCTAATGACTAGAGATGAGGAGGAAACGACAAAGGTAGCGGCTGAACTTTGGGATGGAGTCGTTGCGTATGAAGGCGTAGCTGAGACTGAAGGTTGCGTGGTTACATAGCTGATGACCATGGATGAGGAGGACACAACCCAGGTGGATGCTGAGCTTTGAGGAAAGCCGGATGTGCTAAAGCTAGCATAGTATTCGCTTGATGAGCTCGGCGTTGCAGTGGAGACGGCAGATGTCAGAATGGGTGATGAGGAACCAACGAAGCTATAGGCTGAACTTTGAGGTAGACCAGATGTGCCAAAGGTGGTGTAGTATTTGCTTGATGAGGTTGGAGTTGCGGTAAAGACGGCAGATGTTGGGTAATACGACTGAGCACTAGTCGAAGAATACGCGTAGCCACCAGGATACTGTTCCGCTGTCAGCATGATGAACGCCATAGAAGTAGATTGGCCTTGACTTACCAGAGCTTGCTCTATCTTCGCATACTCTCGTTCAAGCGTCTCAACCCTAAGAAGCAAGCATTCTCGATCACACTCGTCTTGCGTCTCCTGGGAAGAAGCGACGGCAGTGAGTAGAAAGATGGTGGCGCATAGCCAGGTTGGTAACGATCGTGCGCACTGCTTGTACTGTCAGTCTCATGAATAACATCCTCATGTCACTTCTGTTCTTCTCTAACATACCAGCATGTTTCGCATCACTGCACTTCAGTAACGGTTGTGGTAAACAAATGTATTATGTACTTTGTTTCTGGATATCGGTTACAACGGGTGTCTCTCCGTTCTTAAAACATATCCCTCTCGCGCGTCGTTGCCCCATGCTCCCACCCTCCTCCTTTCTTATCCAGCTTTTCCTCGTGGAATCTGCGATACTGGCATGCATCTCAAGCGTTATTTACGACCTGTCTTAGTACCTTTTGAGCTTGTCGTTCCTTGGGTGGTAACCGTTGCGCATGCATGTTGTTGTCCGTTCTTGGAAAAGGGTCCCGCTTGTTTTGGTAAGCAGGGACTTCAGGGAGTGGTTTGCGAGGTCGGTGCATGCAGGTACGCTATCTCAACGTGATAGAGACTAGCGTGGACTGTAGAAAATGTGGATGAGGTGGGTATGAATACACCATGATGCGCAGAATTTAGGAGACGGGTTTGGGGCCGAAGATGGCTGGGTGCGGTCGTTTGGGGTGACTGGATCGTATCCTAGACTCTTGTGCTGGGTATCAAACGGTACGCAAGGCTGGTACCTGGCGATAGACCGGTTGTTGCTGTGGGTTCGCCTCCTATGCGGCGGAGGTCCTTCCGGTCAACATCTACTCGGCTCGAGGCCATGCATTTTCAGCCTCTGCTCCACCGCCTTCTTCGTCTTCCTCCTCCTGAAAACCAGCACAAAAATTACCACGGTCAGTAATGCAGCACAGGCCTGCACAATACCAACATACCAACTCGCACTCTACACACTGCGTCAGCAAGCCCTTCCCTCAAATTTCTCTGACCCGTCGACTTACCTGCACATTACAATAGCTGCTAAAGTTAATGTCGCCCACGAACTCTTTTTGGATTGCCCTCGCACCAGAACTACACGTCCAGCCCCAAAGATCATCGCTCTTTCCATTTTTATCTTTCTCGGTGCGATACACAGTAGCGGCTACACACCACACAATGAAGTTCCCCAGCATATTGACCCAGCTAAAGGTACTCGTGACAACAGCGGCTACATTAGCCTGTTCGATACCACACTTGTACGAAAAGATCGTTGCGAAGTTGAGCAGTACGGAGACGGCCGCGACGCCAAAGTACATGTACGTTGGCCATGCCCGTGTATTCTTCGCCCAGGGCGTGCGTAAGATGTTCTCGCCACTGGGTAGTCGGACAACGCGGTGGATACTGCGTGTGCTGAGGAACTTGTGCAGTGTAAGGGCCGTGAGGACGAGAACTGCGATAGAGATGAAGAGAGCGAGGGTGCGCGATATGACGCGTAATTTCCGGATACGTATTTTGAGGTCCTGAATATATGTTAGTACCACTGATGCTCGCTTACGGCACTTCTTTGTTGAGGGCGTACCCTGTCTTCGTTTGCCGCTTCTTTGAGCTCCTCGAAACCGCCATGAGGTAGCGCTTGACTGTACTGTGCGCTCTGATCGTCGGTAGCCAATTGAAGAGTGATCGCAGGTATCGGTCTGTTAGATGAGAACTTGGAAGAAGTCATGGTCGATGGTAGCAAGTGTTGTAGGTCTTGCTCCTGCGAGGGGCGTTGAGGCATGGTATGTATGCGCAGTCATTGAATGTTCGTTGAACGCAACAAAGAATTTCGTGTGTCCCTTTTACAACATGTCGAAAGTCATGTAGATACTTGGGGGGGCTTTCAGGTTGGACATGGGGGTTTCCCAATTTGTACCGAGATCTTCGTGGTGATCTCCGTGTTGTTACATCAGCAGCCTCAGCTCCTCCAGCTCCAAACATTAGTCGATTGATAGTTCCGCCGATCGCGCCGTAATGTATCAGCACAGCTGAACTGCAGTGTTGATGACGTGCCGCTTGTGGCTGCGGTTGACCGTAAGCGGTATCGTGGTCGTGGCTGAGCTGATCCTGATTCGCCGAGTTACCCACAGACGATGCTTAGTGATGATGTCGCTATTCTAGGAATTGGTTGTCGTCGGCATGTGTACGTTGCATTTAACTGTTCATTTGAGGATCTCATGCTCGAGGTGGGCTGTTCATCGGTAAGATGGCTTTACGCCCCTTCGGGCAGGTGCCCAACACAAGATCGGAAAGAGCATCAGCCCATCAGTCGCTGCGCTTCCTCGGATCTGCTTTTTTCTTATGTGAGAACTAGTGGGTCGCTGCACCTCGTAAACGGAGGTAATTGAACAGATGCGCTGCAGTCTACATTAGCATGGAAAACGAAGTTGGCAGAATCCTAAGATAATGTCGACTCTGACGTGATTTCTGGTGTCCAGTGTGGGAGGTAATTATTGGGATTCTCTTTTTCAAACTGGCTGCTGTTCCAGCCGCAGCCGATCTTAGATGGATTTGATTGTGTTGCATTCGGCGACCTGTTCATGAGCGCATGGTACAGCTATTCCCAGCGTCATGCTGAGATGATTGCAATACTGACTAGCACTGGTTCTCCCTCGCATAACCCCGTCAGAGTCGCAGCTATCGCTGGAGGACGGACTGCTGCGTGAGCCATTCCTCCAGTTTTTTCTGTGCGTCTTTGTCCACCAGACAAAACTTGACGGGACCCATCTCACTCATTCCCTCTTGCTCGACGGGTACACGGTCCAGGCTGGCAACCTCTTTCACTTTCTCTGCAGTGTTCAACAGCCCACCCAACCTGAAAAGAAGCATCATTTCCCCATCAGCCCCAGAGGCTGGTATGAAGGCGCTCTGACTCTTGAAGACTGTGAGGAGGGAAAGATTGTGCTCATAAGCCTCGCGATCGTAGCCTATAGCTTCTTTTTCGGTCCGGACAAGTTCCCAATGATCGTCGGTAATTCGCTCCCGGGTGACTGTAGAGAGGAATCAGTACATGACAAATCCACATATGATAACCAGAACGAAGCGGTGTCACTAACCATCTCCGCGTTGATCACTGATGAGACGGACAGCTTCGATACGGGAATATCCAAAGAGTCGCATCCAGCGCTTGATAGTTTCCGGTGTAGGGTATTGGGAAGCAATCTGCGCGTCAGAGGCTGATGCTGCATGCGCCATGCGCTCCAACTCGTCCCAACCAGTGTCCATAGTCGTGTAGCTGAAGTAGATTCTTTAAAGGTTGACTTGCGTAGTGCGATGCGCAATGATGCCCGGCGCGTGAGCGAGGTGGTGCTGTGGGCACCAAAGTCGACTATTTATGGGTTTCAGGCTGCTTTCACATCGCGCCTGATGATCTTGGTGTGACGCGCAGCTTCAGTCTCAACTGGTAGAGTGGTCGTTCTTTCCATGGTTTGAGTGAGGGAGTCACGACTGGAGCGACTCACCAGCACGGAACTATTCCGGGCTCACTAGGCCGTGTTGGGACTTTACACCCAACGTATCAGACTGTAAGAAATTATGACTCAGCTGCCTGCGACACTGTTGTGGTCTTCTACTTCGTTAACAGAACATCTTTTCGTGGTATGTGTGCGCGACCGAGAACAGTGGAGAGTCTGCACCGCCAATTTGGCGCTCATCAAAGCGGAGGAGGCTATAGGGTACGAACAGATAAGGGGAGTCAACGACTGAACTGCTGGAACAAGGTCAAGCGGGCAAAGGCTGTATATCGAAGATTCCTGCGATGGCTGCCTAGGTGTTATCGGAAGCAAACATATCCCCCATTGGGAGCAAGCGACCACGCGCGTCGGGAACGGCCTGTCTTCTTGGTGGCATCTCGCAAGTTTCACCAGCTTCGGACTCCTTGGCAGCCAGATGCGCGCAGTACTCGCACGTCTGCAGGCTGCGACCTCCCTCTTCTGCACAATCATACGCACTGCTGCTGCGAGTTGCTACGAGACAGGCGTCTAGACACACGGCTTATCGAGTAATCAAGAAGCGCTGCAAGTGGATCCATTCTATTGTAAAAGATGGCACTTTACTCCTAAGCGACCCTTACATGCGCCTGAGCTCTCTAGCCTCCGACGCAACGGTCGCACAACCATAATTACCGAGGCGTATTGCACGCGAGAAATGGACAGAAATGGACAGAATTCGTCCGAGTAAAAAATACGACTTCGCCAGAGCCAAGATGTCCGATGCAAAATGCGGGGAACGCGTGGCATTTCCATGGAGCAGACCCAGTAAACTCAAAGCAGAATACCCGTAGTACTCAAAAACGAGCTCGGAGGTCATAACTATCCGCTCCCGTGTGCAAACAGGGCGCGATGGGGCTCCGAGGAACTAACGCCCGTAAACATGTGTACGCCTCGTGGGTCTGGCTCCTCTTTATCCTTGCGGCAGTTTACGTGAATGGCTGCTGCAGCGGAAGCGCCACAGGGACCCTGGCGCGTTGGTAGTGCGATTGAGTTCTATAACTAGATACTTAAACAGGGTCAATTCTTCTCGAGAGGTTGCTTCTCTCCAACAGACGAAAGCTGCCACGGCTGCGTGTTCACCTCACATAGTTCTGTTACCAACATGCACAACTCCATCCTCTTAGCCGCTTGGGCTGGCGTTTCTTTTGTCCTCTACAAGATCATCTCCTCGATCATTATCTCGCGCCGCCATGCTGCTAGAGCACGTCAATTGGGCTGTTTGCCCGCCCCTGAGACGAAGCAATCTCCATTCGATCCCCTTGGACTCCAGAATGTTGCCAAAATAATGAAGGCGGACAAACAATCCCGTATACCGCAGTATTTGAAAGATCGCGTCGATGATGCGTGCGCGAGGGAAGGCAAGATCATCAACACATTCCATCAAAAAATCATGGGCGCAGAGGGATACTTCACAGTGGAACCAAGAAACATCCAGGCTATACTGGCCACGCAATTCAAGGACTACGGATTAGGAGAAAGGCGAAACGGGAACTTTGCTCCACTACTCGGCCATGGCATTGTAAGTAGTATTGTCAGGAATGCGACAAGAACGTTGGACGCTGACATGTCGCAGTTTTCCAGCGACGGCGAGCAATGGGCGCATGCGAGGTCACTACTTCGGCCACAGTTCGCTCGCGACCAAGTCAGCGACTTGGACCTTGAGGAAGAACATATGAAGAACATGATGCGCGTACTGCCTACCAACTCAGACGGCTGGACAGATGTCACAGACCTAAAGCCGCTCTTCTTCCGCCTGACGCTCGACAGCGCCACAGAGTTCCTCTTTGGCGAGAGCGTTGACTCTCAGCTCGCATCACTACCCGACTACAAGTCTAGTAAGCCCCCAATGGCTGTTAACGAGCAAGACTTTGCCACGTCCTTCGACCAGGCGCAGAACACCATTGCCCAAGCTAGCCGCCTTGGAGAGGCCTACTGGCTCGTATACGACAAGACGTTCAAAGACCACTGCAAACGCTGCCACGAGTTCATTGACCACTACGTCCAACTCGCATTGTCAAAGGAGAAGGGTACTATCCAGGAGAAGTCGCATGGCAAGCAAAAATACGTCTTCCTTGATGGACTTGCGGAATCTACCCGCAACCCCATCGAGCTTCGCGAACACCTGATATCAATTCTACTAGCCGGTCGCGACACCACGGCATCGCTACTGTCGTACGTTTTCATGCTCCTTTCAGAGCACCCAGAAGTCTACAACGCCCTACGCAGCGTTGTGTTGGAGACTTTCGGCACCTATTCGAACCCCAAGAACATTACTTTCGAGTCGCTGAAGTCTTGCAACTATTTGCAGTGGGTTTTGAACGAGACTCTGCGTCTTTACCCTGTCGTCCCTGTTGATGGTCGCCGTGCCCTCAAGGATTCTACCCTTCCCGTGGGCGGTGGTCCAGATGGCACAGCACCTCTCTACGTCAAGAAGGGCATGCAAATAGACTACAGTGTATACATCATGCACCGTCGTGCTGATCTTTGGGGTCCCGACGCTGAAGAATTCCGACCTGAGCGCTGGAACGGAAGGAAGAGTGGGTGGGAGTATCTTCCTTTCAACGGCGGCCCAAGAATCTGCATCGGGCAGCAGTTTGCCCTGACAGAAGCTGGGTATGTAGTTGTAAGGTTGATGCAGAGGTTTGAGGCGATTGAGGGTGTTGGTAATACTTGGGAGCCGAAGGAGAAGGGTGGTATGGGTTATGTCAGGAATGGGCTCAGCTTGACGACATGTCCCGCGGATGGTGTTAAGCTGAGGTTGAAGGAAGCCAAGGAGTAAGCTGGTTGTAGATGAATTATTGGATCATGATCATAAGCTGTTATCTTCCATACCTCTATTGAATGATGCGACGAGATGGTACCAAGTATCTCGACATTACGGCGGTTGAACTTGTGCATTGCTCGATTGGCTGAACACTGTGCCCACTCTGGTCATTGTATCATCCGATGTCAAAAGCATCGCGTCCGTGATAGTAATTCTAAGTCGAAGCGTGCAGCTGCAAAGTGTGGCCAATCCCCCAAACTGTCCACGGGTGGCGCTGCGCTAGGACCGACGGGCGAGGCAAGGATCCGTCGGCGGGACATTTCCAAACTTTTGATGCACTCCAACATCTTCGAAACCAACACGCACCACATCGCCCAATATGCGGAGAGCGCGTGGACTTCGGGTGAGGAAAAGCAAAGCCGATTACTAACAGAAGTACCATGACTGACAATGGCAGGCTTCATCAACCCGCGACGTTTGCATCTTTTGCGCCACTCGTCAATTGGCTATCTCGAATACGCTCGCTGCATCGTCGGACGCTACACAGCGACGACAACTCAACTCGTCGAGCAGAGCCCCGCAGTCGGCCGAGGCCATCCTATACAAAGATGCCAATGAGCGCAAGGAGCCAATGTCGCAGGCACAGCGCATGCGGCAGGCGCTGGCCGCCAGCGCCCCTCAGCCGCAGCAAGGAGGATTCATGTCGCCTGCAGATAGGATGAGAGCATCATTAGCAGCACAAGCGCCGCCGCCTCAATCCCAGGCGTCACGGCAATTCCCACCAGAGCGCCGCGCAATGAACAGAGGCGGTCCTTTCGATGGGCCAGGGCGGAACCAGAGCAGAGACCGATTTGCACCTGGTGTACGGAGGACGACCGGCAACGAGCGTGGCAATGACCATCGACCACCGCCCCAGAATCGCTATACCGTCAATATGGACTCGAGACCACAGGTCAACACCCCGGCATTTGGCTCCAGTCACCTCAGACGACGAAACGACCCACAGCCCGAACGCTCCCCGTTCGGATTAGACGACCGAAGATCACCGCAGGCTCCCAGGCCTGCACCGCAAAGAAAGATGCTGGATCAAGACGAGATATCAAAGCTGTTGGGTAACGCGGCCTCAAACTCCTCGAAGCCCTACACACCACTTGCAAGGGACATGAACGCGCAGAGGACATGTTTCCACTGTGGATCGAAGGAGCACGCGAGCAATATGTGCCCATCGAAGCCGGTGCTCCGCGAGCCTCAACGGCAGGAACAACCAGCACAGAAAACGGCCATGTATACACCGCCGCAACGTTACAAGGAATCAATATCGGATGCTGCAGAAGCCTGGGCGCAGAAGTCGAAGGGCAATATGGACATCGAACAGTCGGCAAGATGGCAGATAGAAGAGGATAGCAGGCGACGCAATGACGTGGACAGCGAGAGAAGGCGAAGTCGCTTTGCCTTTGACGAGCCGGACGAGTCCAAGAACCGATACGAAGAGCCCGCGCGAAGGCAGGGCGGAAACAAGGGCAGGAGCCGACGCATACAACGGGACGAGGAGGAGGATGAAGACCGGCCACACGTCAGCAAGCAAGAACGCAAGCGGTTACGGGCTGAGGCGAAGAAGGCAGCGCAGTCGGCAAAGGCCGGTCCTACACCGATCTCATTACCAGAGTACATCAGCGTGGCCAACCTTGCGGGTGCTCTTAGGTTGAGAGTAGAGGACTTTGTGCGAAAGTTGGAAGAGCTAGGGTTTGAGGATGTACAGAATGATCACATTTTGAACTCGGAGCATGCTGGCCTTATCGCGCAGGAGTACAACTTTGAACCGATCTTCCAGGCACAGGAAGACGATGGGGACCTCTATCCCGCAGCACCTCTTGAGCCTGAGGCCTACGCCGAGCTTCCTGCACGACCACCCGTTGTCACGATCATGGGTCATGTTGATCACGGCAAGACGACTATCCTCGACTATATGCGCTCGACTAGTGTGGCGGCTACCGAGTTTGGTGGCATCACACAGCACATTGGTGCGTTCAGTGTGCCACTCGCAAACGGAAAGAAGATCACGTTCCTTGACACCCCCGGTCATTCTGCATTCGAGACGATGCGCGCTCGTGGAGCCAACGTTACCGACATCGTTGTCTTGGTCGTTGCTGCGGATGATTCTGTCATGCCCCAGACCGTCGAGGCTATCAAGCACGCGCAAGCGGCGAATGTCCCCATGATTGTCGCCATCAACAAGATCGACAAGGCGCAAGCTGACCCAGATGCTGTCAAGCTTGATCTCGGCCGCCACGGTATCGAGATTGAGGACTTTGGAGGTGACATCCAGGCTGTCTGCGTTAGTGGAAAGACAGGACAGGGTATTCCCGACCTGGAGGAAGCCATTTCAACATTGTCGGAGATGTTGGATCACCGCGCTGATCCTGCTACCTCCGTCGAAGGATGGGTTCTTGAGGGTACCACCAAGAAATCTGGACGCGTCGCTACCGTCCTAGTCCGAAGCGGTACCCTTCGCCAAGGAACAACGCTTGTCGCAGGAACTACCTGGACACGCGTGCGTACTCTACGCAACGAGGCTGGTGCTGTCGTCAAGGAAGTCGGGCCTGGCATGGCTGTTGAGATCGACGGCTGGCGTGATCAACCCATCGCTGGCGACGAAGTGCTACAAGCACAAGATGAACAGCACGCGAGCTCGGTGACCGATCTTCGTAGCGAGAAGGTCGACAGAGAGCAGATGGCGCGCGACATGGAAGCCATCAACGAGTCTCGCCGCCTAGAGGCCGAGCGTCGTGCGGCCGAAGAAGCAGCTGCCAAGGCTCTCGAGAATGGCGAGGAAGCTGAAGTCGCTGAGGAGAAAGAGGCTGGTCCGGAGGTCGTCTCCTTCATTATCAAGGGAGACGTATCTGGCTCTGTTGAAGCAGTCATCGACTCTGTCTCCGCACTCGGAAACACAGAGGTGTCTACGCGCATCCTCCGCCACGGTGTTGGCGCACCCTCCGAATTCGACATCTCGCACGCCGCCGACGCAAAGGGACATATTGTCAACTTCAACACCACGATTCCTGGACATGTTGCCAAACTAGCAGAAGAGAAAGGCGTCAGGATTCTTGACAGCAACATCATCTACCGCGTAGTCGAAAACGTCAAGGACTTGCTATCCGAGAAGCTCGCACCAAAGGTCATCCAAAAGGTGACGGGTGAAGTGGAGATCGCAGCTGTCTTTGAGATTGGCCTCGGTGGTAGGAAGAAGATGAAGGTCGCAGGAAGTAAAGTCAGGAACGGTGTTGTTGATAGGGGTTCCAAGGCTAGGGTACTCCGTAGCGACAAGATTGTCCATGATGGTAGGTCATTCCTCACTCGGGTTGCAGTTGAAACATATGCTAACACAAATTATTAGGCGTGATCGAGTCGCTCAAGAACCAGAAGAAAGACGTCGAGCAGATGCGCAAGGATACCGAGTGCGGTATTTCGTTTGAAGGCTGGGAGGACTTCAAGGTGGGTGATCGCATTCAGTGTTACGAAGAGAAGTTTGAGAAGAGGAACTTGTAAGATAGTGTATACTATGTACATAGAGTAACGTGGGGTGGTTTGGGTTGAGGGTTTGATAACTGCCCTTCTTCGTGTATATATGTAGATGTGTGGATATGTAACTATCAATTATCCCAATCACGCAAGATATGAGTATGGTGTAGGGATTGGTCTGCCACTACCCACGCTTGTGACCTGGATATTATCACTGAAAACCGTATTCGAGGTACTCTAATGCATTCGTCATTATCCTACGCCTTGTTGTACTATGACGCACTGACACTTTCTGTTGCAGATATGCAACCTTTTATACTCTGGCCTCTTAATGTTCTCCAACGTGTTTCCGTAGCTTGGCTCCCGTCCATAATACCGGCGCAAAGTGTGTCGACATGTTGAAGCTGAACAGCGACACAAACCACAGTATGGCCATAACGGCGACTGGAACGAGTAGGAGCTCAGTGTGGTGGAGGAAGGGCAGTTCCTTGTAGCCCAAGAAGGTGATGATGAAGTAGTAGTTCAATGCGGCGAGGTAGAGTGTGTTTGAAAGGAGTAGCGAAAACCTAGGCAAGTCAGCGCATATCTTGATTCCTTGGGTTTAAAGTTTAAGACTTACCAATGGTGTGTGCCTATCAGTGGCATGCACAGGAATTGAACAACGTAGAGGAACACCCAGACCGGAACAAAGGCCCGAATGGCAACATCCCAACAGTATCCAAACTCGAGCTCTTCCTTGCCCGAGTCTTCTCCTAAGTTGTACAGTCCTCTCCTTCGTCCAGGTAGCAGTGTGTTGTCTGGGCCTAATAATCTGCCGACTAGAAAGAAGAACAGTGTCGCTATCAATAGCGAAAGCAGCAAGAAGTGCCCGAATATGAAGACCATGGTTATGTGGAGGGTCTGTGTAAAGCCATCTGCGTATGCGAAGCCCCATGCAAGTGATGTGAGGGTCAGGAAGAAGGAGAGTAGGTATGTAAACGACGGGTCGGGGCGGTGGTATGTCTTGGTGGTTTGTTTCTACGCGCTGTTAATTACATATCCTCACACAGAGACCAGGAATACATACATGGTAGTATATCTGTCGAAACACCTTCTTGGGTGCTATTATCAGGCTCATGATCTCCCATATGGCCATTTCAAAGTCCATCTGGGGGAATTTGAACATGCGCTTGAAGAAGCGCGGCATCTTGACCTCATTCCGCCGTGTCGGTGGGGTCGAGCCAAAGTTTGAAGGTCCGCCCGTCGGCCTTGGGAGTGATATGTGCGGGTTCATGTTAGGCGTGCTTTGTGAGGTGGCCGTCTATAGGCAGCTGTTGAGTGAAGGCGCGACGCCGGAAATGGAGATACTCGAATGCGCGTCAGGTATTGGTGTCACCGCGAGTCCCAGACTTCCATTGTTGGAGGGGCGCGTCAATCGTCCAGTGGTTCGGTGAATGGTGGCTATGTGTTCGGTACCTGAGCGATGACGCCGCCGTCTGAGCTAGCGCCAAGAACGA